TTCATTGTCTTTGCTATATCACCTCTGCCCTCAGTATCTTTGCTATATCACCTCTGCCCTCATTGTCTTTGCTATATCACCTCTGCCCTCAGTGTTTTTGATATATCACCTCTCCTCTCAGTTTCTTTAATATATCACCTCTGCCCTCAGTGTCTTTGCTATTTCACCTCTGCCCTCAGTGTCTTTGTTATATCACCCCTGACCTCAGTGTCTTTGTTATATCTCCTCTGCCCTGAGTGTCTTTGATATATCACCTCTGACCTCAGTGTTTTTGATATATCACCTCTCCTCTCAGTGTCTTTAATATATCACCTCTGCCCTCAGTGTCTTTGCTATATCACCTCTGCCCTCAGTGTCTTTGATATGTTACCTCTGATCTCAGTGTCTTTGATATATCACCTCTGACCTCAGTGTCTTTGATATATCACCTCTGACCTCAGTGTTTTTGATATATCACCTCTCCTCTTAGTGTCTTTAATATATCACCTCTGACCTCAGTGTCTTTGCTATATCACCTCTGACCTCAGTGTCTTTGCTATATCATCTCTGACTTCAGTGTCTTTGATATGTTACCTCTGATCTCAGTGTCTTTGATATGTTACCTCTGACCTTAGTGTCTTTGCTATATCACCTCTGACCTCAGTGTCTTTGCTATATCATCTCTGACTTCAGTGTCTTTGATATGTCACCTCTGACCTCAGTGTCTTGGCTATATCACCTCTGCCCTCAGTGTCTTTGCTATATCACCTCTGCCCTCAGTGTCTTAGATATGACACCTTTCCCCCTCAGTGATTTTGATATATCGACTCTCCCTGAAGTGTTTTTGATATGACACCTCTCCCCTTTAGTGACGTTTGCCCTTTTATGGCCAATACATCACCGATGACAATAAAGAATAGATCGAGTCTTTGTATTATCACTTAGCAGCAACAGACCTGAATTTCTATGTACATTATTAATATGGACTTTGGAGTTTGTATTGATCTCCTAGAATTTTTTTTATTCAAACATACAGATTTTACGCAAAAATGTGCATGCTTTCAAAATCCAAACGTTTGTGTAAAATTTAGAGTCTTGCTAATGCTATAAAATAAATGTCATCATTATTAAAACACAAATGTCTGCATTTAATAGTTGTGCATAGCCGAGATCTGTCTGAATAAAACTTAAATTAATTAGTTATTTTAGTCTGAGCACAACCTACCATAAATAGACACAACCTAATACCAGTTGTCCTAACCTCATTTTATAGCCTGTGTGACGTCAGTAAGTGGAAAGGTCATCATCGACATGTCTGTCGACACAAATACAGGTAAGTAATTGTTTGTTTATAACCAAAGCTTGGTTAATCATGGTGTCATTGTTTATTTACATTTCCGTATTTTTTATTATTGTGTCGTGTTTTGCACATTTTTATTATCAGACCACAAATGACGTTGCTCGGACCACGTGACATTTGATGTCACGCCCCCGGAAGTGACTAGTGGTCCGACATGACACCTCTGACTTATCGATTGTCGATAGAAGGCGATCACGTCTTGTCAAGCCTTATATTCAAATATGTAGATGTACCAAATCGCTGTGGCATATTTACGATCGAAATTGAAGACAAGTGAGAGTAGGCTATTTCCTTTGTCTTAGATGAAATATGTATTCTTAATTTTATACTTTGTCACTCTTATGTCATATGAAATTATATCCAGTCACAACTACTTTGAGTATCATGAATCCCTTTGAGTTACTTTGATATATATATATATATACATTTTCGTTAATTAACGATTCGAGTCGAACCCGCATTGGAATGCCTGGCAAATATTTATTTAAACGCAATAACATAATTGGCACATGACTGTTCTAATTGATGTTCTGAATATATCCCCTGCCTAACGGAAAAAAACCGAGTGTTTTCATTTTAGAAGTGTTTCCTGTCACCTCAGAACCTAGGTGCCAATATTGCAAATTATCGTCGGTGAAGCAATGGTGTTTCCCCTATTATTTCATGACTGCATGAAAAATGAAACTATAAATTACAATATTTACATTTGCATGGCATTGTCACTATATAGCCTCTTGGAAAGCTGCGTCGTTGATGGGACTTTAATTACCATGCATCACGAGACACAATTCTTAGCGTATTAATACAACACTGACCGGAATTACAATATCCAATATAAATAAACATGACGGCTGCTGAAATATCGCTGGGCATTGTGAGATTTGACAATGTCATTGTAAATTTATGTGCAAAATAAAATAAAAAACACTTTTATTACAACGAAAACAAGACCAAGGTCTGCAATATCGTACAAAATGCACATCGGTTGAAATCACCAATGCCGGCAATGGAAACAATATTGACGCTCATGCAACTTATCAGAAATATCGTCTGTTACACTGCACTGATCAACAGGGGGTCGTTACAAATGTCTGAAATACACATATTCTATAGACCTACTGATATGAGTCACAGCACAAATCAACATTTCAGACATTGGTAACGAACCTGTGCTCCGTCGCAAGATCACTCACTTCAAACGCTATCAGTTTCACGCGTCTCGCATCCACGGTTCCTGAGTTTCTGACAACACGTCAAATAACGAGGCTGTTATAGAATCTACCGACTGTTGTCAGGTTTCCATACAATCAACAAGTAAATTCACGCCTGGAATCTTTACAAAATGAGCAGAGAGAAAAGTTCGAATTTACTCGTGGAGGGCAAGGTCGGATTTACGGTGTTCACTGTATTTGTCCATGCGCGAAATTTGTTTCGGGGAAATTTCGAAACAATTCTAAATCTAACTTTCAGCTGAGAGTTCTATTGATAAACCAAAATCACCCTAAAGACATACCATACGCAATTGTATTGATACTGAATAGTGGAATAAAATTGTTCGTTAAAATTTCAAAGTACTACTTTGTTTGCCAATCAGCACGCGACAATACGCTGTTCAAACTATTGAACGAAATTGTGTGGACTGTCAATAAGGCGGGCATTTTTAATTTTAGATATAAATTATAAGTTAAAAAAGAACATAAGAGGCAGAGAAAACGTAAATATAAGTATTTATCACAGTTGATAAAATCTTTGTATCGATCTCTACCAAATACACTTGTGATTTTCTAACGAATCAGAAAGCACTCATTTATTGCGCGGACGTATATATTCACTCGTTGCACTCCGCGCACTCGTTAATATATTCGTCCGCGAAATAAACTCGTGCTTTCTGATTAGTTAGAAAAACACAAGTGTGGGGTCTTGCATATTGAACTGTTATTGTATGGTATTTATGATCTATTTGAACGCATTATGATTTGTTTGCTTGCAAAGCTGCGTCGTTCAAATAGATCATAAATACCATACAAAAACAGTTCAATGCTTAAAGATCACATCTGAACTTTGTGTCTTGTTTCATTTAACGCATAACCTTGCTTTTGCACTGGCAGCTTTCTGTTGTTCCATTCGGCAGGAATATACATGATTATGTCCTCATATCTACATCTATCTTAAGTGCCTAAGCTTATTAAATGGTTTTGAACCATGGTTGACCATGGTAAAACATGTCTAAAACCATAGTTTCACATACTTAACTATTAATATGTAATGATTATATTACTAGATGGTCTAATGTACACATGCCTTTTTATACTGTAATCGCTATGCACTGAATAGTGTATGCTATAACATATCATGTATTGAATTGATCGGCTGATGAGCAAAATGTTCCAGGCTTAATAAATAACTTGAACTTGAACAATACATAACAAGGTTCCACCATCTTTTGACCTTTTGCATGAAATTGCCATCCATGGTCTCCACAACCGTGGTCAATCCAGCCCGTAAACCATGGACTAACTATGGTCAATCTACCCCATAAACCATGGACTAACTATACAGTGACCATGGTCAACCCATCCCATAAACCATAAACTAAATATACTGTGACCATGGTCAATCCACCCCATAAACCATGGACTAACTTAACTATGACCATTGTCAAACAGTCGCCCAAACGTTCCACTTCCAGCATACACGCAAACATGATACACGTGGTGTAAGTCCTTATATAACCGTAGCTGTTGATAGGATATTTATCCTAATAGACATAATTCACGATCGTGAAAATAGGTGTATTGAGCTATAAATATGTATACTGCTTATTTCTATACTGTAGTCTCATCTGCTATTTTGTTATTCTATAGAGGGAAACGTTTATATGAAGAAGCAATTACTTTTGTATTGTATTTCGTTCTAAACTTTGTGTCTTTCTCACAACTTTCCCTCCTTTCTGTTGGTTTTCTTTACCTGAATGTCTAGTTGACTGTTAGTCTATATACCTCGACACATTTCAATCAATATCTAGTCAGTTAAAGTAGCGAAATATCTAGTTACCATCCCTATACGATGAGAGAAAGAGATTAAGCCATATTTTAAACAAACACAAAACAACAAAAACGCAACCAGGCAAAAGATCAAATATAGACAAGTTTGATTTTTTCTCTTTATTTTTTATTATACATGTTGCACAGCGTTCTCACATTCAAGTTATTGGAACTACATTATGTTTGTTTCAAAACAGTTCAAAACAGTTCAAAACAGATGACTGTTTTAGCATCGCAACAGTCACGGTGTTATGAGAAAGAGTTTCAATAAAGAAACATGACAAACACAGCTAGGAGACTTGTTTGTATAAGAAATGATTTAATAAGAGTTCATTAAAACCCAAACAGCTGTCTTTTAATATTTATTTATACTCATATTGATACTATTTTCACAAACTTAAATTGCTTTAAATAGAATGATAAAATTCATGTTTCATTAGATGGATTCGTAGAGCAATATAAATATCCAAAATTTAGTAAATTGATATTAAGTGCTTAGAAAGTCCAAATCTGCCTCGAGCGCTTGATGGTGTTCATAAAAACGACACAACAGTAAAGAATAATTAAAACATGAACCGCCTTTCTCAGGTCGTCCATAACTAGGCGTTGTCGTTGTATTTGGTCAGAGGTTTTCCCATTGTCTCACTCCCTTGTGATACAAGGTAAATATTTTTGTTTTGTTTGGAATCCTTTGGCGTAGATGATTGCATAATGAGAGAACTAATTAAACTTGTGAATGTGTTGTTAAACATGTACCTTCTCATCTGTCCAGCCCAGGTAACGCAGGTAGCTGTCCGGAAACAGGTAAGACCATGAAAGCGAAGATGGCACAGAGTTGACAGCTGATCATGATGGCAAAGTCATGCGCTGTTCGTCACCAGTGTATGCGTGTGTCGACAGCCGGAGAGCGATCCCAATAGAATCACTGTCTCAACACCGACCAGCACTTCAAGTTCAGGGGAGTCACACTTTACAGGGCCAAACTTAACACACCAGAAAACAGGAGAACACATAAAACAATATCGTCTTTGATGGGAGGTAAGTTAGACCTTTCATTATCAATACTTTTAATTGGATTTGTTTCTTAATTTCAGACAGGAAAAGAAAAATGAACGGACTTCATAACGGAAATATGCACATGCGAATCTGTTGAAAGTGTTTATTCACTGCTAGATATTTGTTTGCTACCATCTTAGGTTATAGAGACAATACTGTGGACTAAAACGCGCGACGGACTGTTCCATACTGTGTTTAACCGGAACTACCATCTAAGGTTACAAAGACAATATATACTGTGGAATAAAACGCGCGACGGACTGTTCCATACTGTGTTTAACCGGAACTTTGATTTAAGAGAACTTGGAGCTGCTTACCCTGAGCGCATTGCAATTGTGACATTGCACAACGTCTAAAGGATATTTTTACGAATGGATTTTAAAGTAAATTAAAGTTTAATGTTGGACTAAATGGATCAAACGACTCGACATTGGGCATCTGATCCAATCAAAACAGTAAGAGAGAGAAAGAGGATGCAAAACGGATATTGAAAATCAGAAAATTCTGATGGTAACAGCTATCTCCTTAAGGACGTTTCATCAGCACATTATCATACATTTTTAACAATAAATTATGATTGACACCGTTTTTAAGATATGGCTGACGACGACGCCCGTGTGATTTACAGAAACACAAGTCGTACATATTAATGGCTTTCAGTAATGTATTCATTTTCCTTATTCAAAATGATGAATGGACTCTAATCATACTTAATGGTAATAAAAAAGATGTTTAAAAAAAGAACAAAGCCATATTGTAAATTAAATAATAATGAGAATCCGAGGTTTGATTGATATCCATAAAAGCATACATGATTTTTTTTAAACATGCCTTTTTATGAGCGATTGTTATCAAGTGCACATAGAACAAGTTTGTTAAAAAGTAAGAAAGGCGGATCTGGGGTTGTTAACATAGAATATCATCAAAGAGACATCGCATTTCATATGTAAGATGTAAGGCTTATATTTATGCATTGTCTATATTGATGTATTGTCTATATTGATGTATGCAGTGATATATCATATTTTGTGGCCAGGGCGAAATTGGTGTATAGCTGTTGTCAGACCTTTTCTGACCGACTGATGATATGTATGAGCTTATTCACGATTGTCGTACCTACTGGTCAGTACTTAGGGCCATTTGTCCGTGTATTGGACTGGTCATCCGGATTTATGGCACCTGTACCGATATATGTCAATTCTGTGTATCGCGGACTGGTCAACATTTACCTTGGACATTGTTGTACCGACAGGTAGAAAGTCAAAGCATTCCGTGTTGTTCTATAGACAAGTTTTATGCACGAGCAGGGGATCCTAGTGGTCAGTCACTACATATTTACCGTACATTACTATGTGTAAATCATTACCGAGCTTTACTATACATGTCACTTCTTACATCACACATGTAAGGACTGTTTTACATATTGGTATGTGACCGTAGTTGACCTCTCCTGGTAATAGTGCTAATTACTTTTACATAACGCATTTCCCTTGATTCGACCTCAGATTTCCTGCCGTACGCCACATGTGGTTCCGGACACGTTTACCCTCCCTAACCACTGAGCGTTGCCTGTGTACTGTGTTGGGGAGTACTTATATGATATGCCTCCGTGTGTGTGGTATCACCCCGTTACCTCATAATGTCATTTCGTGTTGATTCGCACTTCTCTAGTATCATGTTTTGTTATTACAAATGATTTTGAATTATTGTTTCGTCAAATTTGTGTAACTATAGCGACCAGTCTTCATACCATAAAGGAAAAAAAGGATAAGCACATCCTTTGTGATAAAGTCTATTTCTAGTTCGTTTTCTTGATTCCGTACTTTAAATGCCTCTATACATCTCCTTGTGTACGTCTATAGATCATCAGCGGCTTCAATTTAGCAATCACGAGAATAATACATAAGATATTTGCAACTCAAACATGTCTGTAGGGAATGATAAACTAAACATATATCCTCAATTTGTCAGGTATAAGCTCAGAGGCTCTCATCTGATTTTGATTCCTTAAATACATAAGGTGACTGACAAATGATAGATGTGAAAACGAGAATCTTTGTGATAAAACGCCTTGTCTGAATGTATAATTTTAATTATCAGTATATTCATATGTTAACTGACTTTTTATAAAGTATTAATCGACGCGCTAATATCTGTTATTTTACAGGTAAGTTTGCAATGGGTTGGCTCTTTTTCTTCAGACTCACTGATTTAGATTGACCTTCATGAAAGACAGTCAAAATCGTGCAGATAATATTTGACCTGTCATATTATATGACCTATATTGAGATGATTTTATTACACATGTAAATTTTCCTTGAGAGAATGATAATGAACTAAAAAGTAAGAATAAATCATTTATTTGGTGTCTTTTCATCAATCTTAGCGTACATCTGCGAGGGCCAGATGTGGTAATACGGCTGATAACGTTTAAATAGAAATTAGAAGTTTATTGTCTGTTATTTTATGTAAGACATCAGTGATAAAAACCAGGACATTTCCTGATAAAAACCAGAAAATTTCCCGAGAAAAAAATAAAACATGCAAATATTATATAATTTCAATGCAAGGTTTCGAAATATGAATTCATCATCATTATGTATTCATCTTCATGCGAGAACTGATGTCCATCAATATTGATGGTTATTGACATGAAACCGATAAAATAAACAAAACCGGCTTACTAACCAAAGCAGGGATAACATATGTAGGTAATAAGATTTGAGTGAATAATATTTTGTATAGACGTTCCATAGTAGTTTGTAAAGAAAATATAATTTGAGCTTGAAGTATAATACCTGCCTTTTAAATAGACGTTTAATAATGTACCATTATTCTGATTATGAATGCGGTCGGGGTTTCTTAAACAAACGCTTACGAATTAGCGAAATCCGTGTGAACCAGACTCGATTGATTCAATTATATATACATGTGAACCAGTATAATACGGAGACCTTTCTTACTGTGTAAAAACGACATGTTTCATTTGCGTTTCGTCAATCCGTACTAATAGCTGTATTGTTTTTGCATTACATCTACCTTTCTGTTCCCATTGTAATCGTCTATGTAAGTACATTAGTATTGCGGAGGTCATCCTCATTTTACCTACACATTAGACGTCTGACATAGTGATTGACAAATCTATATACACCTACTGTTCTAGGTAAAGCTTGAAGGAAACCAATCGCTTCTATTAACATAATATATTTTAACACACATACAACCTGTTCAACAGTTTAAATTCGTATGTTAATGGTGACATCTACATATGGGTCAATACTGTAATATATAAAAAAAAACACATTCTTGTTTGACAGAAGGGTCTCTCTAGTTTCGTGTGTTTGATGACATATGCGGAAGGTTTTCTCATCAGGTCATATCCTAAACCGCATCACGACTCGTATAGCGTAGCTTCTCTACCGTAACCTATCACGCACGTGATGGCCACTTAGTCTACTTCCGTGTGACAATTGCGACGCTTTTTGACATGTTTGACGTATTGCTGAAAATCATTTCATATTCGCGAAAATGTTTGCAGTTCAATTTTCGAAACTGACCTGCAATTCGATATACACGTAGATGAATGGGAAACTATAGCCATTTGGAATGACAAACGTAACACACACATGTGATTGCATGTTTAAAATTTGATTAATGCCAATAATGCATTACACATCATCACACAGCTGTTCGTCCTTCTAGAACTCATCAGTGAGGATGGGCGCAAACGGGAAATATATTATATGTATTGAGATGAAAAGCAGAAGTAATTTGATTAAGTGTTTTGAAAACTTTAAAAAAAGTCTTACAAAAGTTATAGCAACGCTGAATATGATTTAATTTCAGAGTATCAGAAAGTGTATTATAGTTATTTTGATAAAAAAAAACAACTTTGGGCACTTTAATACATGCTACTAAGCGTTACTTTTATTTTAACAAAATATTATATAAAACAGCTTATATCTCGTTCAAAGAATATTTTATTGTTGATGTGCTTTTATGTTTGGACTGGTACAAAGCATCAAACATTGACTAATTGAATTATAAAACATTATAACATCTTGAGCTGATGTCTCTTTCTAAGTCCATTGGAGATAGTGGCTATTTAATAAATCTTTGTTGTTGCGCTATTATTTCAGACTGGTACACGTTATTCAAAATATGGCTTACTTAATTTCGCTCATATACTATAACAGGTCACTGGCTTACAAGAGCTTGTTAATAGTGAAGCGTGTAGATGTCAACTGTGTAAACCGCATGGGGATGCTAAGCTTGTGGTTTGGACGATGATTATGACGTTTGTCTCACATGAGCCTATTCCGGTTTTTCGTATTGCAGAGTTATCTTCTCTTGTGACCAGGTATTGATTGTTACGTTATTGGTTTGTGCGAGAAAATTACGTCGTTTTCTCAAAAAATGATGACGTTACTCTCACAAACAAATGACGTAACAAGCTCACAAGAGCAGATAACTGCAATACGCAAAGACGGAATACCTGCATCCACGCAACTAGTTATTCTTTTATAACACTAGTCGACAGAATAACCGCGGACGATAAACGCCCTATTACCTTTAACACTAATCAAATTTCTTAAACCTACAACGAGTGTTCATGTTCTACTTCTCTACCATGCCAATGATTACCTTCTCACGAGTAGTGTAAATGATGTCGATAGTTTTAAATCTCGGTGTTCTGACTGGGGTATGGTAGTTTCCAAACGTTTATTCTCACAGCAAATCCAACATAAAACCCAGTATTTAAATTATATCCATGCTAATTATCATGATAAAATCAATATTCAAATACCTAACTGTTGGAAATTTTTAAATAAACAACTCAACGTGTTTCGTAATTATTGAGTAAACATTCTAATTTCACTGCCATACGTTCAATTTGCTTATCTTAATGTTGATTATATTTTTTATTTTATAGCATGATTTCCCTTTTTGAAAAAATAGTTTAATGATTGTTGATTGTTCCA